AAACCCGAAACCCTAAACCAAAAAACACCCCTAAAAGGTGGCCTAAAACGTAACCCCTAAACCCTGCAAGCACGAGGCATAATCCGGGAGTCAAGAAGAAGATGAGCTTCGAGGAGTTTGTGCGTGCTGTGCCCAGCCAAAGGTTGGGTCTGGTGTTGTCTTAGGGTACTTTGGGGGTTTAGGGGCTTGGGTTTGGGATTTAGGACACTTCGGGGCTCTGCTAGGATGCCAAGAGACTCCCAATCTCCCTTTCACCTGCACCCTGAAGAACCTACCTTTTTAAGGACTTATATAAGGAACTCAAAATAAGAAGCGCTAGACAGGTATGTTCTTCAGGGTCCAGGAAGGGCCTGGCTGGCTAAAGCATTTGGGTATTTCTCTAAATTAGGGACCCTTTTCGGGGCCCTTTTATAAGGGTGCCGTACTATATTGGGGACCTAAAAAGGGACCCGAATCTAGAGAACTACCCATTTTGAGTCTCCAGGTACGAGCTGACAGGCGAAAAGGGGCTTTGCCTGGCTCGATCGGGCCCGAGCTCCTAATCCCGAAATCTTGAGCCCACAAGGTGACGAGCTCCCTCCGAGTACTATTAGGGGCCTTTTAATTACCTATACTATTTTGGGGGTTCCTTCTTATATATTTCAGTAGAATATACCCCAAAACCCCATTCTGATTCGTGGAAATGATTTGTGATCTCGTCAACTGCGTACCAGCCTATGCTACGGACAGTTGTAACAGTACTACCAACACTAGCGAAAATGCACGACAAGAAACGATGGGAAGTATCGCAATAGTCGCTGCGATACTAGCTGTAGTTCCATTCCACGTTCCAACCCTACCCTAAGCCGTACATAAACCCTATAGCACCTTATGCCCATAGCCCTCCGCCAGAGTTTGCTGGACCGTGAGGGTTGGCATGAGGTCTCAGAGATATCAATGCATGAGACCTTGTCGATGTATCACGTGAGTTTTAGGTCATGAGACGAAGTTCTCGGGATTAGCATTCAAGCCTGGCCTGGTAGAGTTGAAGCACGGCCTAGGCGGCACAGGCTTAAGGGAGCGCGGGTTTCAATATGTATTTTCTGTCTTGGGGTCCCGGCTTTTAACCCAGACCCAACGACCGAGGGAACAACCGTGGAATCGACTCCGGGAAGGACAGTTCGCCGGAGATTCTATGGATCTGATTTATTGGTAATATTATCCTCTTGCCGTTCTATGTAATTATGGTATACTACACCCCCAGCGCTGCATTCTTCTTAACAAATCCCCATGTTGGTATCAGTGGGCGCAAGTTGGAGTTTCATGGTGAAGTAGTCAGGAGAGGCTTGGCTAAAGCAACGGTTATCTTAGAGTACTCGCAGAGATTCAGTACCCGGCATTCGCAAGAGTACCACATCCGACCTCGGGTGTTCCTTGGTACATTCTGGAGCCTTTTCTGGGAGTCCTGAAGACCTATTCGGTCAGGTTTATGCTTTAGGGCCAGTGTAGGATTTAGCTCTACTGTGTTTCGGCATGTCCTGGCTTCACTTGCTCGGTAGAACCTTGCTGATTTCTTGAGAAACCGTATTATGTAGGAGATAGAAGTGTCAGTATGCGTCAGTTTTCTTCGAGTCGCAATAGCACTGCAGTATCACATGCCACCACTTGCATTGCCTTGTGTCGAAGCCTACAAGTACAGGAGTCCCCACAAGATCTCTTAGGGCCGAAAATCCCAGCCCTGAACGTCGTGTAGATTCGGGCTCCAGGACATGCCAGCGTACTTTCTGCGCGACATCTACGAGGCCACCGGCAGCCCCGGGCGACTGGTGGCCCGATTCGGCCCGATGGTAGAATCCTCGTTGTTTAGGGTTTAGGGTTTAAGGCTTAGGGTTTAGGGTTTAGGGTCGTTTTGAGGATCTCCACAACAAAAATTGAGGGAACCCCGAACTTGGGAAGCCATCCAAGTTTTAAGCAAAGGGGTGGCGCCCCAAGTTGTTTGAAGGGGCAATAGTGGCAACGGTGGCTGCAACAGATCAGGCATGCAGATCTCCGCGATCATACAGCAAGCAGAGACGCAAGCTAATCTTATCATCATCAAGAAGTCGGAGTGCTAGGCTGCATCTTGTACTTGGTGTAGTGCATCGTTGATCGTTATTGCTTTTGCTTGTTCTGTCTCCTGCTCTTGCTGCTTCTGTACTAACCTCTAACCCCTAAACCCTAAACCCTAAACCCTAAACCCCTAAACCCTAAACCCTAAACCCCTAAACCCTAAACCCTAAACCCTAAACCCCTAAACCCCTAAACCCTAAACCCTAACCCTACACAAAGACCTGCGTTTGAGGCCATCCGGGATGATGAGATCCGTTTGCACGGGGATGCGCCGCCCGAGGTCGGTCCGGAGTTGTGGGATGCACGTGTAATGTAGGGGCCTTACTTAAAGGATCATGGGACTTAGTAAGAAGGGTTATAAATAAGGTAACTATACGTATAACCCCAATCAGGGGACTTATAACCTTACTTACTAAGTCCCATGATCCTCCAAGTAATAATTTCCTATACCATTTTGGGGGTTCCTTATTTTGATTATGGGAGAATGGGCCCCCAAACCCTACTCTAATTATTGAGGCCCCTATATTACGTGTCATGGCGTTACTAACTTGCACGAAGAGGAGCGATTGAGGTCGACATGACGACATGCTTGCTTTAAACGGTCTTACAGCTCCTTGACAACTACTTGTAGGAGCCGTTGAGTTGAATGACGAATATGTAGAACTGTACAACCTACAGATCTTTGCAGCGAGAAGTTTCTCGACAGCAGCACGAAAGCTTCAAGCAAAATTGGGACTCCGGATACACTTGCTTACAACGCAATGACAAAGCTGTCGATCGCGTCTTTCGTGTTGGCAGCAGGCTGCACGGTGATCGCAGCAAGGCAGTCTGTCTGTGAGAAGACACTCTTGGAGCTGATGAGCGAAGAT